GAAATGCCAGGAACAAGGGAATGATGAGTGGAAAATAATGAGAAAGCTAAGAAAAACATGTGGTCGGAACACTGTTTGAAGTGGAAGCAAACCTTGGAGATACTGCGGGTTTGATTCCAGACCACTGCAATAAAGCAGGTATCGCAATGAAGTGAGCCACAGATGTTTTGGTTTCCCAGGACATATAAAAGTTACATTTACACTATACTGTAGTCTATTAAGTGTGCAATAGAGTTGTCTGAAAAAAAAATAACGTACATGCCTTCACCAAGAAATGCTGCCATCTGAGGCTTCAGTGAGTCGTCATCGTTTTGCTGGATGAAGGCTCTTACCCTAGTAACATCAAAGATCGCTGATCACAGATCACCTTCACAAATGTAATGAAAAATTGAATATATTGCCAGAATTCCCAAAATGTGAGACAGAGATAGGAAGTGAGCAAATGCTGCTGAGAAATTGGTGCCGTGCCGATAGACTTGCTCGAGGCAGCGTTGTACAGAGAAACATAAGAGGGTTTGGTTGTTTAAAAGCATCCCGGTTTGAAAACGGGGGGCTCACAGGCTCACACACGTTAGTTGAATGCTGAGTGTCTTCTCTACACGTGGGTGAGTTTCGGGTCAAGAGGACACATGCAAGTTTGCTTGGCGCCACTCTTGCCAAGACATGAGATTCACGGAGTTGCTATTAGTAATACAAATGGTCCATTGGCGGACATCGAATTCACTTCATCTTTAGGATGTCAAGATTTTATCGGTTCTTTTCAGATAGCAAAATTCCACTTTGGGCAAATTCTAAAAACAACTCAGGCCTTACAGCATCTGTTTGTTTGTTTGCAGTTGTTCTGGAAGGGGAGACGAACAAACACGATGCCCACATTAATATTCATAAAGCACAGCTGAATAAAAATGAAGAGCGATTCAAACTGCTGGAAGGCGCCTGCTACAATGGAAAGCTCATCTGGAAGGTGACTGACTATGCGATGAAGAAGAGGGAGGCGCTGGACGGGCACACGGTGTCCATCTTCAGCCAGCCCTTCTACACCAGCCGGTGTGGCTACCGCCTCTGTGCCAGAGCCTACCTGAACGGGGACGGGTCCGGGAAGGGGACGCACCTGTCGCTGTACTTTGTGGTGATGCGAGGGGAGTTTGACTCACTGTTGCAGTGGCCGTTCCGGCAGAGGGTCACCCTGATGCTTTTGGACCAGAGTGGCAAAAAGAACCACATTATGGAGACCTTCAAGGCTGACCCCAATAGCAGCAGCTTTAAACGCCCCGACGGGGAGATGAACATTGCCTCCGGCTGTCCGCGCTTCGTGGCTCACTCCACTTTGGAGAATGCCAAGAACACCTACATTAAAGATGACACCATCTTCTTGAAAGTGGCAGTGGATTTAACTGACCTGGAGGAGCTCTAGGCACTGTTTCTGGGGGGATACGAGGCCTTCTTGGGTCCAAGACCGTGGAGGAAACCTTTGGTTAGCGCGGTGACTAAATTTCAACTCAGTCCACATTTGTATTTGGCCTTTGCCCTTAGCGTTTGAAGTCAGTTTAAAACTTTCTAAGTGCTGTCTTCTTTTTACATTTAACTCTTTCCCAGTTTGAAAGTTAAAGTACTTAGGATATCCTCTTATTTATATTTTTCTATCTCTTGAAAGTTTATTGAAAGCAAGGTCTGGGACATCTCTTTTTTGCTGGTGCTTAGCATGGGGTCTGAGGGTAGGCACTCTATGTTAAATGTCAATGAGGACACAGGTGTAGAATTCCCAGTTGAAAATGCTTGGTATTTGGTCTGCTGGTTCTAGACTTGACCATATGCCTACAAAAGCCATCTTCTAAGGTGGATTGTTCCAGATCAGTAGATGGATGGTGTAATTGCAAGACAGTATGTCCAGTTGGAACAGACGTTTTTTGAGTCAGATCCTGAATTACTACACCTCTAAATATTTTCATGAAAGTCACCAGTAGTCAGCAGACACAATTTTTTGAAGGCTGCATAAGTGGTGACAAGAGTAGGCATCTTCATTCTCCCTGCTGAAATAAAGAAGAAAGTACCACATAGCATATAAAAAAGGAGATATAAACATCCAACTAAAGTCCAGATTTTGTTAGGGTCAACCATATGGAAAACTGTTTTTATAGATCAAAAACAAATATTAAGAGTTTAATAAGGTTCAACTTAATGTATATATATGTATGTATATGTATACAAATAACTTAAAAGTATTTGGGTAATAACAGTAAATTAATGTGAGGATGGGCAGAATTTAGTATATGATGGAGAAAATGTCATAAATGAATGAGGAATTTAAAACCTAGGGAAGACATCATTACAATTTCCCATGGGTGTCAGAAGCACTACGATCCAAAACTGATTGCTAAAAACAGTTCTCCATTCTTCTTGAGGAAATTTTTATTTCATAGATTGGTATGAAAATGGGTATTTATATAAACTTGTGACTCTTCTTGTTGCAATCCTAAGTATTCTGTGAAGAACAGAAGTGATTATGTTCTTATCATTTTTCTGTATGGGTCTGAAGGTGTATATTCAAGTCAAGATTGAATCCTACTGACTCTTGATACACCTGAGGTTAACAAAAAATACCCAGTTTGCCTGAGCCCTAATTCGTTCTCATGCAACTGAGCACCACACCCCCCCCCATGTGGCCTGGCTCCCTTGATCCTGCAAGGACAAGTGCCACCGGCTGAGGGACACTCAGCGCAGCTCACTCAGGCGATGACCATGCACCTTTCAACTGAACAGTTAACCTGAAGAAGATGTATGATTTATACCCGTGGCTTCTGGAATAACTGAAACTTCCTTAATCTCTTCTGTGAAATTTTCAAGATGCTAAAAAACTAAAGTGCAGAAATCGTCTCAAAGGGTTAAATTCAAAGAAATAAGTTCACAATAGAAACACACTCAAGAACTACACTGTAGATGCTGGTAAACCCTGGTACAGTCGATGGTCAACATGTCAGATCAGACAAACTCAGGAAGCTTCCTCTAGACCACACAGGTGGTTCTCTGTGTTCGTTTTCAGTGTTTCTAATCAAGTTCAAGATCACTCCGTATTCCTGGGGAGTGGGAGATCATATCGTTGTAACTAGTTTTAAGTAGATGATGTGAAAAACATTTTAAAGTGAATTTATTAAAATACTAGTTTTGTGTTTTATCCAACTTCTCCACATAAAAAGTATAAGTGATGGCATGGTTTGCTTACCAATTCGTAATCCCTTCATCATTGAAACAGTGATCACAAAATGAGGTATTCTAGAGTAAAAACCCTCCTTTCCTATAAAATAAGAGTTATAATTTTTGTTTTAAAGAGGCAGATCCATGTAAAATATTTTTTCCTCTTTTACAATATGAAATCATTTTAATCTATGTCAATAAGATTCCAATTTTATTTACATTTTTATTTTATATCAATTCCTGGTGAAGAAAAAACAATACACTAGGCATAAAGGGGGCATTAACCTTGAGAAATATATGTGCAGGATTGAAGTAGGGTGTGGAAGTGGGGTCATACTAATGCATATTAACAGATCTGAGTTCAAAACCCTGATTTCCAAATATCCTGTGTTCAGAGAAAGAAGAAATAGTCACAGCCAAGTTCAACTCATAGGGCCAGCCTTGGATGCAAGTAAACAGGAGATACCAACCCTTTGTGTGGTCCCTCAGACACTGCCGATGCCGACTACCTCTTTTCTTTTAGAAAATGGTTGGAGAAGGCATGTTCAGAGAAGGCATGTTCAGAGGTAGGGCAAGTACAAGGGAGATGGGAAAGGAATGTCCGTAGGACCAAATGCCACCCTGAGAACAGTAGTGTTCCCTGTGCACCCACAGCTGACTCTTGAATCATTATCCACCCCCATGCTCCTCCCTCCTCTGTCCGTATCTCTGACCCTGGCCTTTGCTTAAGCTGCAGACTCCTATATCCAAGTACGCACTGATCATCTAAACTTAGAAGTCCTACAGGGACTTTAAAGTCAGCTTTACTAAAACTGAACTGGAAATCTTCCCACTCTCCACCACCGCCAACCTGAATCCTCTGTGTATTCTACCCCAGATAATGACATCACCATCCAAATGAGAAGTTTGGACACTGTTCTAGATTCCTCCCTCACTGTCTCCATCCAATCACCCACCCAGTTCTGCCAATATGACCCCCAGATAACTTTTTAAAATTATTCCTAACTACTTACCCCTACTGCCTACTTTTTAAAAAAGGTTATCTACCAGAAACCTTCAAAAAACATGAACAACATGTAATATGCAATCCAAATAATTTCTGGAAAGAACTACCTGAGGCTACTATACAGTGTTGTACTGAATTTAGGGGGAAAGCCAAAATTGGTATTTACAGATAGATGAATTCTTACCTATAAAATCCAAAAGAATTGGTTCAGCCGAATGACCAGACAGATCAGCATACCAAAACACAAATTATCCTAGGGTCCATTACGAAGAGTAAACTAAAACAGCAACAAAAGCTGGTAGGTAAAAACCTAAAGGAAAATGTGCAGAACAGCAAGAAAACTGGAAGACTTCACATGAATAAACAAGGGAAGACTCCAATTCATGGAACAATAACCACATTACCAGACGGCCTCAATATTGTACTGGTATCAAATCTGGGCAAATTAATCTACCAAAAAACAAATCCCGGAAAACTGTGCCAGGTGGCCACAATCTGTAACAGAACCTGAAATGAAATCACAAATTCCGGGAAAATGCTGCCATTTGTTGACACTTATAAAATTTGGCCCCACGATCTGAGGTTCTGGGCGATGTACGCGAAAACGCTCAGCAACGAGTCAAACCCCAGACATTAAGCCAACCCCGTGCCCACAGGCCGGACTGTAAGCCCTGCGCCCTGCGCCGGAAGAGCCACGTGAGCCCCGCCCCTATCTGTGTCGTGGCGGGACATTTCCGGGCCCGCTGACGTGCGCGCATGCCGCGGAGGCCCCGCCCCGCCCACCCCGCTCATTACCTCGTGGTCTGGCTCGGGCTCCGCAGTGGCAGCGGGCGCTCGCTGCCCTGGTTCCTCAGCACCCTGGGGCCGGGCTGGAGCCGGCCCAGGAAGGTCATTTACCTGCAATTTACAGTAAGTGTCGGAGCTCTGGCTGCTAGATAGAGGCCGCGCAGGCTTTTTCTTTCTACCTTTCCCCCAACTCCCTCCCCAGCCGGCCTCTCGGTCACAGACTGGGCCTCTCCTCCCCAAATCAGGCCGCGCCCAGCGCTCAGGGTTCCCCCTGGAGATGAGCCCTTTCTGGTAAGCGTATCTACGGTAAAGCCTCAGTATCGTGGATAGTTTCTGCGACTTTAAGTAAAACTAGTGTCAAGAGAGTCATTTATCGTAGGCTGATCGAAACAAGCAACATCCCGAGGGCATCTCATCACCCAAACCAGGTTGAGCAGCACCACGTTATTGGAGGCCCTGCTGAACGCCGCAGGTGTGACCTTGGTCTGACCCTGTTCTCAGGGCTTGCTCCTCCTCCCGTTTTGAGGGCCCGCAGAAAGCCCCCTGGAAATGTTCTTTCCTCCAACTCCCTTTGGGAATCTGCTCTTTGTGGCGGCTTCTGAATCTTTTTTCTTTTCGTGAAAATCTCTCCCAAGGACCACCCATCTCGGTGCAGGGTCCTTTCCTAATCTCTCCTCCTACTAAATAAAAGAAAGAATCCCTTGAGAATAAGACACTAACCTAAGCGTTTTGCACGTATTTTATTTAATCATCGCACCTTTACATACAGTGGGGCCTTGACTTACGAGTGTCCCTACTAACGAGTTTTTTGAGATACCAGCTGCCTCTCAGCCGATTTTTTGCATTGAGTTGACGGAGTAATTTGAGTTAACGAGCTCCTTAACGAGCTCGGTCTCAGAACGAATTAAACTTGTAAGTCAAGGCCCCACTGTACTTTGCTTGCAGTAACAGCTGGGTGTGATGGAGTTGAAATTTGAATCTTCTGTGAAGCTTGCCCCAAAGCTGGTGCCGTTACCACTTTCTCTTTCCCACACACCTGGGCATCTCCCCTTTAGTTGTTTCTGGTGAGGAATTTTTCTTGAATGCTGTCTAGAATGTTCCTGTTTCTGAAAATGTGGCCGTTGTCTACAAACTTTCTCAGAGCTCTCCACACTGGCCCTTGAGTGCTCCGTTTTTACCAGGTGTCTAAGCTCTGAGTTTAGTAATATTTCACATCCTCAAAATGTACTTGATGCTTCGTTTTGTACTTCTAACCCAGTCCTCGTTAATCAGCCTTCTTCCCTGAATGTCATTATTGTTATCACTGTTCTCGGCAAGCATTTCAGCAGTTTGTATAAGACAAGATAATTGCAGCCCTCCCCTCTGAAGCCTACATGTTAAAAACACCTGATTTAGAGACATAAAATGAACTGCAGTTCAAAAGGCAAGACTAAGCCAGATGTGAAGGGTCTTTAGCTTGTAGGCCAGTGGTTCTCAACCTTCCTAATGCCACGACCCTTTAATACAATTCCTCATGTTGTGGTGACCCCCAATTTCATTGTTACAAATTGAACATACTTAAAGCATAGTGATGAATCACAAAAATAATATGTAATTATATATGTGTTTTCCGATGGTCTTAGGCGACCCCTGTGAAAGGGTCATTCGACCCACAAGTTGAGAACCGCTGTTGTAGGCAGTGCGGAAACATTGGAAGTTTAAGAAGATAAGTCTGGCGGCAATGTGAAGGGTGTGGAGAAAGGCAGTGAGACTCATTAGGCGGCAGGTGGAATATTTTAGGTAGATAGATTAGGGGTCTTAACGGGCTGTGCCAAGCAGTATTGGGCTTAAGAGGAATTTGCAAGGACAAATCAAAAGGACTTGGTATCTGACTGAATATGGAATTGAAAGTCAGTGATAACAAGGCTTGAGGCTAGTACTGCTGCAGTTATGTCCTTTCTCTACTTGGTCTTGTGTTTAATTGTACTAGGTCATTTCTATAACATACACGCTCTAAGACAGCGGTTCTCAACCTGTGGGTCACGACCCCTTTGGGGGTCAAACAACCCTTTCACAGGGGTCGCCTAAGACCATTGGAAAACATATAATTACATATTGTTTTTGTGATTAATCACTATGCTTTAATTATGTTCAATTTGTAACAATGAAAATACATCCTGCATATCAGATATTTACATGACGATTCATAACAGTAGCAAAATTACAGTTATGAAGTAGCAACGAAAATAATTTTATGGTTGGGGGTCACCACAACATGAGGAACTGTATTAAAGAGTCGCGGCATTAGGAAGGTTGAGAACCACTGCTCTAAGAGATGTCTTTACTGATCATGATAGACATTAAAAAGCACAATAAGGGAATTCTACAAACAACTCTATACTTATCTCAGATGAACTGGATCACCATCAAAACTACCAAAATTCACCCAAGAAGAAAGGGATAAGCTGAACAGTTCTATACCAAAAAGGAAAACTCTCCAGTGCCATGTAGTTTCACTGGCGAATTTTACCAAATATTTAAGGACAAAGGAATAGTCATTCTACACAAGCTATTTGGAGAATAGAAGATGAAGGAAAACTTTCCAACTCATTTTATTAACCCAATGTTTCCTGATACCAAAACCAGATTTTTAAAAAACCTGAAAACCAAATCAGTGTTCCTCATAAACAAAGATGCAAAAAATCCTAAAAAAAAATCAGTGTTCCTCATAAACAAAGATGCAAAAAATCCTAAAAAAAAAAAAAAATAGCTAATTGAATCCAGCAATGTGTAAAAGAAAAACACTTTGTGACTATCATTTATTCCAGGAATTCATGGCTGGTTCAACATTTGAAAATAAATTAGTATATCTTACTATATTAACAGACTACATAAGAAAAACTACATATTCCTATCAATAGATGCAAAAAAAAAAAGCACTTGGCAAAATTCAACATTGATGATTTTAAAAACTCAGCACCATGAACCCAACAGATTCAACTGTGTTCTTTAAAAAAGAAAAAAACTTGACCAAGATGAGGAAAATCATATTTGGAGCCCCAAACAGAGTCTAATCCATCTAGAAGTCATTGGTTCTTTAACAGCTGTAGAAATGACCACAATCTGTAATCCAGAGAACTAGCAGTGTGACTTGCTTCATAAGAGGACTCAGTAGCTGGAGCTCCTGGCCAGCTGAGCTTGGCCTGACCTGGGCTTCCCAAATAAGACTGTTTTGCACCTGCAACTCAGCACCCCTGCTCCCATCTCCATCAAAGAGGCTACATTGCTGAAATGGTAGAGAGATGGTGAAGAGTGAGGAGAGGTGGCGGTAGCATTTGATATGGTCTTGATAGTCTTACCAGGAGATGGCATTCACTACGTGTGTGTGTGTGTGTATGTATGTGTGTCTGTGTGTGTGTGTATGTATATATATACATATTGATTTCAGAGGGGAAGGGAGAGGGAGAAAGAGATAGAAACATCAAGGATGAGAGAGAATCATTGATTGGCTGCCTCCATCATGCCTCCTACTAGGGATGGAGCCTGCAACCCGGGCATGTGCCCTTGGCTGGAATCAAACCCAGGACCCTTCAGTCTGCAGGCCAATACTCTATCCACTGAGCCAGACCAGCTTGGGCTCTGTACTTTGCTTTCTATCTTAAAAATTGTCTCTATTTATAAAGAGCAAACAAATAGAATGTATACTTACCAGTAAGTTACATAAAATATGTGCCTGTGTTCATATCAGTGTTCCAAAAACAAACATGAATAAATAACAAACTAGGAATAGCAGGGACTCTGATAAAAGGAATCTACAAAACCTAGAGTTAACATCATGCTTAATGGTGAAAGGGTGAATGTCTCCTACTCCTGATACAATATTGTATGTCAATTATAATTCAATTAAAATTGTTATTTTTTATTTATCTTTATTGCTGAAAGTATTATAGATGTCCCCCTTTGTTTCTCCCCCCCCCCCATCAATCCCCTCCATCCCGTACCTGCCCCCCACCCAGGCCTTCACCACAGTATTGTCTGTGTCCATGGGTTATGCATATATGCATGTAAGTTCTTTGGTTAATCTCTTCCACAAACCACCACCACACCCCTCGCCTTCCCTCAAGATCATATAGCTGTGCTTTGTGGGGGAGAGATTGTATAAAAGTAAAATCAGGAAACCTAGTTATTGGCTGTTACAGTACTTCAAGTAAGAGATTTTGGTGGATTGGGCTAGAATAGACTTTCTCAATTTTGTCCCTTGTCATTGGGGTTGGATTATTTTAGTTGTGAAGAACTTTCCTGTGCATTGTAGGATATTTAGCTATATCCCTGGCCTCTAACTACTAGATCCCAAGTAGCAACTAAATTGTGACAAAATTCCAAGTTGTGATAACCAAAAATTGTTCCAGACATTAAAAAAAAATACACATAGGCCAATAAAACAATAGAGTGCCCAGAAATAAACTCATACATATATAATCAACTCATCCTTGACAAGGGTACCAAAAATCACAATAGGGAAAGAAGTACTTCTTCAATAAATGGTAATGGGAAACTGGACCACATTTTACACTACACACAAAAGTCAACTCAAAATGGATTACAAGCTTGAATATAAGACCTGAAACAATAAAACTTAAAGAAAACATGGGGAATAAGCTCCTTGACATTAGTTTTGGTGGTGATTTTTAAAATTTGATTTGTGTTTTTAATCATATGACTGTGCTTTGTTATAAATCAGATCTTGACACTCCCCTGCTTAAAAGCCTCCAGTCGCTTCCCACTATCTATACCAGGGGTCCTCAAACTACGGCCCGCGGGCCACATGCAAATACAAATACTGTATTTGTTCCGTTTTGTTTTTTTACTTCAAAATAAGATATGTGCAGTGTGCATAGGAATTTGTTCATAGTTTTTTTTTAAACTATAGTCTGGCCCTCCAACGGTCTGAGGGACAGTGAACTGGCCCCCTGTTTAAAAAGTTTGAGGACCCCTGATCTATACTTATAAAAGGGTAATATGCTAATTAGACCAGATAGACCGGTCGTCTTCCAGATGTCATCCCGGATGTCCTTCCTGACAAAGCTGGGGCCCAGGCGGTGTTGCCTGGGGTTCTGGGTGCCTGTGGCCTGCAAGAGGGAGGGAAGCCCGGGTCCCGGTTGCCTGCAGCCAGCCAGAGGAGGGAAGCCTGGGGCCCGGGTGCGGGGGTCAAGGCAGAGGTGGTTAGGGGTGATCAGGCAGGCAGAGTGGTTAGTGGTTAAGGGTGATCAGGTAGGCAGGCAGGCGAGCAGTTAGGTGCGAGAGGGTGCAGGCCAGGCTGAGGGAACCACCACCACCACCACCACCACCACCCCCCCACCGCCCCCGCATGAATTTCGTGCACCGGGCCTCTAGTACTTAGGATGAAATCCCAACTCCATAACATAAAGTTGGTTTTATACTTTTACATTGCCTGGTCCATGTCTACCTCTTAGCTCAGTTCATACCATTCCCCTTTGACTACTATGCTTGAGATTTACTTGCCATCTTTCTGAATATCAAAAAAATGCTAAACTTGTTCTACCTCAAGGCCTTTGAACTTATCTTCCATCGGATCAAAAGTTTTTTCCTACAAGTTTTTTCTTTCACATGACTGGATGATTCTCATCTTTCAAATGTCAGGCCAAGTGTCACCTATTTAGAAGCAGACATTCCTATCCAGCAGGGCACTTCAATTATAGCACCTGCTTATTTTCTTCATAACAATTATCCTTAGAAATTATTTGGTTTCTTCTCCTGAAACTAGAATATAATCTCTGTGAATGTAGAAATCTCGTCTGTTTTGTTCACCACTATATTTCTAGTACTGGATTGGGGGCTTAGTAAATAAATTAGGTGTATGAGTGTGTGTCTTAGGAGAAAAATGGGTTTACTTACAGAAATGGCTAAGTCTCCAAAGAGCTTGGTTTTACTTTAAAGTGCAGAGTGAAATAGATGTTCCAAGGAAAATGTTTATTAGAGATGAGGGATTAAAGGGATGGACAAATAAAAGGGCAGGAGGAGTAATATATTCATTGAAATTGTGTGACTAGATGAGATTTCTAAGAGCACTGTTTCTCAAAGTGTCACGGCTCCTTGAATTGCTAGAGGTCTCCCTCCAGATCTTCTAGTGAAGATCTCTGGGTGTGGAGCGCAGGAATTGCCTTTTTAAAGCTTTGTCTTTCTTATGTATACTAAAGTTTAGGAACCAATGGGATAGTGATAGAGAGGAGCAATCAAAAGATTCATCCTGAAGATGGCCTGTCTCTAAGGGTGGGAGGGGAACATGAAGCCAAGGAGATAGGATGATGGGCTGCAGGTACCAGGGACAACATCGAGTTCCGAAGGGCAGCCACAATCGCAGCGTCCTTCAGTGGTCCATTAGTCTGCTGGCGCTGCCACAGCGCTACAGTTCCACAGACTGCGTGGCTTTTAAACAACAGGAGTTTATTTTCTCACAGTTCTGGAGGCTGGAAAGTCCAAGATCAAGTTCTAGCAGAGTGTGGTTTCTGGTGAGAACTCTTTCTGGCTTGCAGACAGCCTCCTTCTTGGTGCATCCTCACATGCCTTTTCTACTGGTGTTGCTCCTGTGTGTGTGTATGTGTGTGGGGTGTGTATCTCTTTCCTCTTAGAAGGCCATTAGTCCTATCAGATGAAGGGTGCACCGTTACGACCTTATTTAACTTTACCTCCTAAAGACTCTCTAAATTCAGTCATATTGGGGTTAGAGCTTCAATAGTAAATGACTTTTGCAGGGACACAGTTCAGTCTATAACAGTTGGTGTTTCCCTTCATCAGTGAAGAAAACCAGTTTGACATAATGTAATCCAGAGTATCACCACATAAATACTAAATTCTTGTTGTAGGTTATAAAGCAAAATTCAACTAAAACAGGGTTCTTATTTTGATCAAATCTGTAGGAGATGCTTGCCAAGGTTATGGAAATACATACTTGACTTTTGTTTTGATGACAGATACTCAAATTAAGGGTATGCATGGTTATCATTTAATAGAAATATAGAACTATTTTCTGAATAACCAACACCTGACCCACTTTCCATTCAGAATTAAAATGTGGTTTCTATTTCCTTTGTTCCGGAAACCATTATTTTGCTTTTAAATTCTCTAATGACTTGTCATTATTTTGGTTTTACAGCCATGGCAGGCAGGTTTTGTGGACATGAGTAAGAAGTTCCCACGCACAAGTCCTGAAGATGCCAGGGCCAGCAGAAATGAAGGTGGGAGCTTTTCTCACTGTAAGACCTTTTCAGTAATTTCACATACGTTCTATAAAGTATCTTATTTGTTTCTCTTTCATTTGTTGCTAATACTTGAGAGGATAATTGTGTCATATTTGATATCAATCTAAGGCAAACACAAACAAACGGGGACAAAAGAGCAAAGCCAGAAACACCACCAACCCCAACATAGATCAACATCTTTCTCTTCAGATGACGGTGTATTTCCCTCTTCTTCTTCGTCTTCTGAGAGCGAGACAGATTCAAGTACTAACGGTATGTTTATCACCCTGTTAGGGTTTTTTGTTTGTAAGTTAAATTATTTAGAGAAAAATTATTAAAATCCTTTATAACTTCTGTTTATTCAACAAATGTTTATTGAGAATACGCACTGTGCTCCAGGCATAATGGTAAACATGCCATGATCCCATCAGCCAAGGAATCTTTATTTTATTGGGTGATAAAGATAGTCCATTACAATATAGATGAGAGCTATGACTTGGTACACATGAGTGAAGGAGACCAGGAAAGGCTTTAAGAGGAAATTCTATCTAAATTGAGAACTGGAGGCGGAGGAGGCATTTTTCAGACAAAAGCTGGGGGAGTAGAATTCAGGAAGGTTGATTATAAGCTAAAGGAATTGCATATGCTAAATAACCACTGTTGACATTTGGGTTTCTGATTCTTTCTCAAGTGACATGCTTTTACTTCTATTTCTTGATTTATCATGGGCTAATATGAGTTCTTGGTTGTAAGTAAAGGAAACAACTGGCTGGTGTAAATGGGGAAGGCATGGAAGGATCTTGAGTAACCCACAGAATTGCCAAGAAGCTAGAGAATTAATCTCTGAATATATATAGGAACAAAGTGAAACTTTGCAGCTAGAACCACAGGCAAAGTCATGCCACAGAGCTCAGTCTGCTAAGGGCCCACTGCGACCACTGCCATTCCTATACCTGGATCCCTCTGCCTGCATTGCCATGGTCACTAAATGCCTTCACTGCCGCTGCACCCACTAGACACTGGGTATTTCTGCCATCACCACAAAGTGGATTCTTCAGTATCTCTGCTTCTTGTGTCACCAACTCCTAGGCCAGTGATGGCGAACCTTTTGAGCTCGGCGTGTCAGCATTTTGAAAAACCCTAATTTAACTCTGGGGCCATGTCACATATAGAAATTTTTTGATATTTGCAATCATAGTAAAACAAAGATTTATATTTTTGATACTTATTTTATATATTTAAATGACATTTAACAAAGAAAAATCAACCAAAGAAATGAGTTCGAGTGTCATAGGTTCGCCATCACTAGGCAGTGATTGACTGAGCCTGATCACATGTCCATGTCCCAGCTGCATAGGAAACTGGAAAAGCTAGTATTTTCAGCACTGATGGTGGGAGGCATACAGAAGAACCTTCACCAAACATAGAAAGGAGAATCAGGTACCAGGCAATCAAATTATAGCAAATGTTCTCCACATTCAACTGTAGGCAATATCCATTGATTAGTTCACATTAAATTACTCCTTTGTCTCACCTATTTTCCCTGTCAGTGTTTGCTAGTCGTATTATAGTTTTTCCATTAGTTAATTTGGCATCAATATTATACTTGTAATTCTACTTGTTCCATCAACTTTAGTCAATTATTTTACTCTTTTTTATATAGGCACCCCACCCTTTCTTTACTCCATCTTTTCTTCCTATTGTATATATATTTTTGTTTTCAGTAGTTAATATTTCTACAACCAAAAGTAACTCATTCATTTTTTTGTTCATAGACTCACTTTAAAGGTTCAAAACCAATAATCAGCATTTAAATTATAATCGCTCTGTAAATATTGTTATTGCAGTGCCAAGTCGTGTGCTAGGGTTATATTCCCTTTCATGGACCTAATATGCTGGTTACTGGGACTCTCAGAGGAGAATGTTTCCAGTCATGCTATCAAGTGCATCGATAGTCCATCACTTGCTTAAAACCATGCATGTGTTAGTATTACTTCATATTTGAACTGACTTTCTTGTATAGTTATTGTTTCCTTAGAGTTTCTAGTTCTAACATTGGTTTTTTATTGTTGAAAGGAAGTTAATGTAATGTCTCCATAACAAAAAGATTTCCCATCCTTTTAATCATGGAGTTTATTTTCCCTAGAGATGTTCTTGCTTGCCTATTTAAACTAGACCATTTCTAATTCTTTTAAAATCTAATTCTTTTAGATTCTACCAACAGAAAAGTTAAGAGAAAGAGAGGACAGAAAAAGAATAAAAGGAGAAAAGAAAGAAAGGTAGGTAACTGTGAATAATTTAATATAAAATTGGTTATAGGATTCTGTACCTTATTAAAGAAAACAAAATCTCCAGAGAAATTTTTTAAAATACATTTTTATTGATTTCAGGGGGAGAGAGAGAGAAACATCAATGATGAGAGAGAATCCACATAGAACACCTGTTGAGAAACAGTACATTATAGTAGTATAGGCTCTAAATTGCCAAAATTGACTCAAAACGTTTTTTTAAAAACATAGACTACTCTTTATGGAAAACTTGCAAATGTTACCTGAAAATAAATTGATAGGCAGTGGAAACTTAGTTCTTTTAAGATTTTTCAGGGAATAGGTAAGTCTGATATTACATATAATATTCTCTCCCAGAATATGAAAGTATATAGATTGCCTTTTAATTGATTTTATGAAATTAATAAAATAGGAAAATTAGATTTTGAAAAATATTACTAGAGACAATGAGGAAATTTTATTATGATAAAAGGGTGAAGATATAACAAGTATAAATGTATTCATGCTGTTGTGAGTTGAATGGTATCCCAAATTCATGTTCACCCTGAACCTCAGAATGTGACCTTATTTGGAAATAGAGTCTTTACAGATGTAATTAGTTAATATAAGATCATGCTGGAAAGGGGAACTGGAGTGTTCTAAATTCCATGACTGGCATTGTTACAAGAAGAGGAAAGGGCACACAGACATGAGTTCAAGAATAAACCCTTAAATTTATGGTCAGTTGACAAAAGTGCCAAGGTAATTCAGTGGAGAAATGATAGTCCTCCCAACAGAGGTTCTGGGACAATAAACTCAACAAATGCATACAAATAATTTTGAAAGATACGCAAGAAATTTGTAATATTTGTTGTAGACTTTGGGAAGAATTAGGTAGCTGGATGACCAGAGTGAAAAGAGGACTTTTTATCTTTCAAATTTCAAACCATGTGGATATAATCACTACTGAAAAATAAAATTAAATAAAGTCTATGCCCTAGCCAGTTTGGCTCAGTGGATGGAGCGTCAGCCTGCAGACTGAAGGGTCCCAGGTTCGATTCTGGTCAAAGGCACATGCCTGGGTTGCAGGCTCGATCCCCAGTAGTGGGTGTGCAAGAGGCAGCCGATCAGTGATTCTCATCATTGATGTTTCTATCTCTCCCTCTCCGTTCCTCTCTGAAATTAATAAAAACATGAAAGAAAGAAGTTCTTGTATCTCTATTTTATTGAAGCAATCATTAATAAAATCATTTATTTTTGTTTTGTTTTGTTTTCTAGGACAAAAGATGAAACATCAAGAAAAAGAAAGAGAAGGAAAAAAGAAGGAAACAACCAGATATCACCATTACAAGGTCTCATAAACGTTCTGTTTAAGGAGTTTATTTTATGATACTTTTAGTTTGGGTTTACATTTTTACTGGTTTGTCAAGACCACAGCAGTTACAGTGTCCAATATGTTAAAGAAAAAAATAATTTTGTCAGTTACATACAATGTAAATATACTTCAAAATTTAGATTTTTGTCATCTCTTAAATATCTCGATCAAGATTAGTAGAGCAGACCCACATGCTTCAAAACATCAAAAATTACCAGTTGGATTATTATAATCTCTGTACCCTGGGAGAGATGACATACAGTAAGTTGTCTACTTTCAAATTTTATTTTAAAAAGTACATATTAACATATTTTATAAAGCTTGTTAGAGTACTTTAGTATAATTAAAATACAGAATTGTAAGTCCTTAGAAAAGGAATTATATCCAGTGATTCTTAAATATCAAAATGACAAAGTTGGTTTTCATCTTATCTTCTGTCGGAATAGTTAGGGTACAGTTTGCTCTTCTAAATCATCAGGTGCTTAGAAATTAAGTTGCTAAACATGATATCTAAACTTGAATATTTTATATCTGTATTTGTGATTATCCTTCTTTTTGTATTTGTCCACATTTTTATGGGTTTTAAAAAGGCAGAGACTTCTTTTAGAAAAGAAATACTGCCCATACGAATTGTATGGGTGTCCAGAGCAATGCTTAATCTGTTTCAGATGAGCAGATCATGCACGGCTCCCCAAAGGAGAGCATAGTATTTGACTTGAACATTGAAGGATGCATAAGTTTTATTAGGTAGAAACTTCAGAATTTCACCTGGTAGTTGGCATTGGTTTTTATTGTATGGAATTAGAAACTCACTAATAAGCTTCACTTCTCTCAAAATTGATGCAATACGGATATTAAGTATTGACTTGAAATAATTTGAGGTTGGAAGTGGCTGAACATTCTAACATTCAAAATAAATATCCAAGATTTGCAAATATAAGAAATTTACTGTTATTTCCATTGCCATTCATTTCTGTTCATTCTTTCCAAGTTCTTATTTGTGGGTTTTTCCCCCACAGGGCAACTAAACTTACCATTTGAAATTTAGATTTTCATAGGTGTACTTTATTTTTCTCCCATTTTTTTTTTTAGGCCACAGAAAAGGGAGTTGCTGAGAGAAAGCCACTGTATATAAAACATTTAATCTGATGATAAACCTTGATGATTAATAGTATTACTTAAATTTTAATGACTATACTAGTATATCGAGTTTGAGGTAAAGCTCCAGTGTAATTTAATTTTCAAGGTTTAATGTGCTCTCATCTTAACATGTTATCCAAAGTTTGTTTTCTACACTAAGTATCAAGAAAAGTCTAAGTATACATAATATAGCATGTCATGAATTTATTCTAATCAGTTTTAATTTTTGTCTGCGGAGGGTCTGAAACCAGGCTAAACTTTTGATTTCCAAAACTCAGCCTTTTGGTTTAAGGTGGCCAAATGAGGATGCAGAGCCCAGTATTGTGCAACCACAGAAACACGGAAGAGCTGGGGATGGATGTCTTTCACACCACGTCTAGACTCCTGAGAACAGTCTCCAC